TTTACCTTTTTTTTAAAAATATACATATACTAATAATAATAGCAATAATCATATTTTTGATTCTTTAGTGGTTTTACATGTTTTGAGATATATTACAAGGTATGTTATGTTGTTTCGGTTCTTTGCTTAATTTTTCTTCTTTCTTTTTTTTACTCATTTATTTTCTTTTTGCTGTTTTATGTTTATGTTTTATGTCTTTTTGGTCTTTTTGTGTTAGTTGTTGGTTGTTTTATGTCTATTTAGCCCTATTATATTTTTTAAACAGCATTTTAATCTTTGAAGTTGTTTTTCATCTCTGGTCATTTTCTGTCTCTTTAGTCACTTTAAAGTTATTTATTTATTTAGCTAGTTGTCTTATGTGTTATAGTCATTTTATGAGTTTTTATAATATTTTTTTGTGTCTTCAGTTGTTTTACAATTTTTTTGTCATTTTAATTTTAGTTGTTGTACAAGTTCAGACCTATTGCTGCATTATTCTGTTCTTGCAGCTGTTAAAATATTATTTAGTCATTTAATCACACCTCATCGATTATTTGTGGATTCAAATTTGCATTAATTAATGTGAACGTACAGACTCGCTACAGTTTTAAAGAATAAAACGAGAATAAAGCAGCTCCAGAGTTTGACTTGAGGCCAGTTTGTTAAACTTTGGCTCCATCTGCTGCTCATTAGCTGTTATTACAGGCAGCACAGAGACACAGGTGGAACGTTTCATTTTAGTTTTCTTCTTTTGTTTCAACCCTCTGAGCTCTCTGGAGCAGGTTAACTGAGTCTTCAAAGCAAATGTAAAGACACCAAATACCCCTGAGAAGAGATTTTTAGTGTTTGAAATAAAACTGTACAGTAGGAAACGGAGCGTCGCCGGCTTCATGACGCCTCTTTTCTCTCAACACAGATCGATTGTGAGCATTAACAACAACACAATGCACACAAAGCATCAACCTTCAGAAGTGTTTTTAAGACATTTACAGATGAGTGGACAAACATTAGCAGGATTCAGGTGACGAGTTAATTTTCCACCAACTTGCTGACGATCAAGTCAGGTCACGTTATAAATAATCACTTGTGTGGCCAAATATTTGTGTTGAAGTGACGGTTTCATCGGTGTGTCCAGAGGGTAAAACCCCCACGGCTGAAACAAACTCTCACGTCGTGCTTTGTTTGTGCCACAGTTCAATATCAGTCATCAAACAGCTCACAAGCGACCAAAGGGCAGATTTGATTGAAGCCCCCACAGTCGGTGCAGCTTACTGAGGATTGAATCTTCAATCAATAGTTTGCATTCATTTTTGATGACAGACAAAAATAAACGAAATCGTCCTCTACATGGAGGACGACAAACTTCTGGAAAGATGTTCTGCTCTTCTTCTTTTTCTTCAGCTGCTCTTTGCTGGAGGAGTCGTGTTGTTCCACCGTTCGCTCTGAAGTAACCCAACGGTGTTTAGTTGGATTCAGGCCACACAGACTGGTCCAGGTCGTGTCTCTGGCGTTGTGCTTTGGATGCTGACATGTTGCTCTTCTGGGGGTCAGCTCGTCAGCCAGGATATATGAGGTGTGTCAGAGAAGTTCCAGGACTGGTGTCACAAAAGATATTTAAAACCCAAACTACACCGTACAATAGTCCCCCTGGAGTCTAAGGATTCTTTTGGGATCCTCCTCAGCTCCGTCATCACAGCCACCTTGATGACGTCTTCTAAACGGGTCCCCTTGATGACCCCCTTGAGCTTGGGGAAGAGGAACAAATCCCACAGAGCCAGGTGGGGTGAGTAGGGAGGTTGCTCCAGCACGGCGATGTTCATCTCAGCCAGGAACTGTTGGACGCTCAGGGCGTGGTGAGCAGGTTGTCATGCTGAAGTAGCCACCACTTGTCCTGGTTGATCATCTGAACTCCGAGATTGTAGTTTGAAATATATCTTTTGTGACACCAGTCCTGGAACTTTTCCGACACACCTCGTAGACGTTCTTGGTGTTATCTCCACCTTCAGCCCCGTATCGTCACACTCCCACCTCCATGCTTCACTGTCCGGACCAGGTTTACACCAAACATCTGGAGCCAGACTGAGCTGAACAAACTGATCTTGGTCTCCTCTGACTGAACAATGTGCTCCAAGTATTCGTCTTTAATCTTGGAAGTTTAGTTTTTTCTTGGACACATCCACACAGTGTGGTGTTATGAACTGTCCTTTACATTTACATGCATAACTGTGCGTTTATGTCCCGTTAGCCACATTAGCACTAACTCGGCTGCCACTGCACAAAGTCATCTAAACAAAGGAAGTCACGTCTTCGGTATTTTTGGGGAGATGCAGGTTTATTTGTGCAGCTTCAACGTCCAGTAACACAATTAAAGCCCTGAAATGTACTTTTGTGACAGGATTAACGTGATAAAAGTGTCCTGACAGCTTTGACGGAGCTCAAGATTCATCAAGAGAAGCTTTAATGCGACAAATTCCTCAATGAACTTGTTGCACATTACGCTCAGTTTAAGGATGCGTCTGTGCTTTCTGCTGCTGTGTGATGCTGCAGGTATTTTAAAAAGCCTCCACCTGTGGACAGCCAACAGGACTTTTGTAGGTTTCTTTGTGTTTCTGCTGAATCCTAAATTACCTTCAGAGGAACGTCTTCACGCTCTCAGGTCTGTCGGAGTCACATTAACAGCTGTACTGTAGCCGCTAAGCTAGCAAACTGTGTAAATGATTGGTTGGCGGCGTGGGGACAGGAACCAGAGTTTGATCAACCCTGACCCACTCTCCTGGTTTATGGTGTGTTGTTGAAAACATCTGATGACTCCAGGAGGCATCACCCACGATGCGTTCAGGTGCATTAGCACAAAGTGCAACAGAACAGTGAATGTGGTTTTGTGTTGTTGCAGATCTCTGAGTGAGGTTTGAGACTTTTTATTCTTTATGATCTCTGTGTAGAAATATGAGCTCCACTTATTGTATCTTAAATAACTCTATGAGCTCTAAGACGTTTATGTGCAGCGACACATTCGTCCTCCACATTAAGATCCGTTCTGTTGCTTTAGTTCGGAGAAGCAGAAATTTGCTGCAAAACAGTGAAAATAACAAATATCTGTCAAATGATTATATTTTTTTGTGATTTAAATAGAGTAGAACGGTGTGATTTTATTATTGTAAAACTGTTAAAGAATTAATTAAGGGAAATAAATTATATATTTTTAAAATTTTTAATGTGGACAGTGAATGTGTCGATTCATACATTTTTCTGCAGTTTTACTCGATATTATTTAATTTAGTAAAAGAGAGTAAAATAGTAAAATTATCGACCATTTTTCAGCCCTAAATATTCATAATTTCTCTTTCTAATAATAGCAAAAAAAAAATCTGCAAAATGACAATTTTATTTAAATACAATATAAATCGAGTAATTTTACGATCACACACTGTAAAAAAAATTTATTATTATTTTTTTGAAGTGGACGTTATGGGGTTAAAAAAAAACCTGTGAAATATTGTAATGTTAAAAAAAAAAGAAAAATAATGACAAATATCTGTAACATAATAAATATATTTTTATTTAAGAAATGTTATAAAAGAAAGAAATACGATTTATTAAAAACACTGATTGTTCCTGTGGATTTTATTTACAGCGTTGGCCTGTTTTTCTACAGTTAACGTGTAAATTAATACTTTTATCTGGGATTTTAGAGAATTGTTTTTTCAATATAGATCATTTTTCTTTTAAATAACAACAAATATCTGTAAAATATTTATATTTTTAATGACTTAAATGCGGTAAAAATAGTACGCTCTTCAGAAAGGGATTTATTTGGTTTAAAGCTGTTAATCTGAGCTTTAATCAACTGTGCATGTAAAACCTAAACGAGAAGACGTTTATTATTTTATCTGAACGTCATTCTGAGCCTCCTCCTGTTCGCTGCTTTCCATCCTGGAAATGTGAGAAGAGCGTTTTTATGTTTTCACTTGACATTTTTAGGTTTTGTCCTCGTGTTTGTTGTTGCAACAGGTTGGAGCCGGATTTGGCCACATCGATGCTGCACAGTTCACTCTGAGTATTTGTGTCCTTGGCGAGCGGATCAATTAAACAAATCAGTCAATGATTGATGCACAAAGGCAACTGAGTCAATATGGAACCATTTCACCTCACACACTGGAAGAAACCTCAGATCTCACTGTATTTATTTATTTTATAGTATTTTTTAAAAAAAAATATACATAAATATGTAAATATAAATTACAAAACAGGCAGTAAATGTGTAATCTAAAAAAAACAAACTGTGAATAGCCATTCAATTTCTTAAAGATTTTAGAACATAAACTGTTAAGATACATTTCAAAGGTTTGCGTGAATTCAAATCATGTATTCTATTTATTTATTAGATGTGATGGTTCAATTTAATTCAGCAAAATTCAAGTGTTGAACTCAAGCTGTGAATATATTCAAATTTAAATGCAATTATTGAAAATCAACAGAAAAAGTAGTGTTGGTTCTGTAACTTTTTCACAGATTTGGGTGTTAAATGAGACGTATCGCGTATAAGTACAAAATTTTTCACAACAAAAATGTGGAATAACTTTTCTTCATCTTTGTATAATGTCTGTAAGGTTTGGTAATGTGTCAGCTTTTATCATATTATCATAGTTTCATTGTTTTAGACATGTAATCATTCAAAAGCCAAAAATGTGAACAAGTTCATGTAGATTTAAACCTTAAAAATGTTTTACTTGTGCTAAATTACTGTATTTTTAAGTCATTTTTATTTTCTGTTAATTCACAGTATTTTTTACATTTTTGTTCCAGCTGCAGGAATAAATATGTTTTTATAAATTTTGCAGTTTCTGTAGTTTATTTTATGTTTTTTTTTTTTGTCTCAAATCCTGAGATTCCTGTTGAACCAGCAGTGAGATTTATTTGCTACAGAAAAAAAAGAAACGTCTGTTTATGTCAATATTGGGGAAAGCCAGAGGTTTGCAGCTGCAGCGTATAAAAGCCCAACAAGCTCCGAGAGGCTCAGTCGAATCCTGAAGTGTTTCTGAAGCTGCTCGTCACCATGAACCTCAAAGCTTGCTTCTTTTTCGCGGCTCTGTTCGTGAGCTGCTTAACTGATGAACTGACGCCGGAAGAATGTGAGCCGCTGATCAAGCCTTTGACGATGGCCATCGACGCAAAGGTAAAGCTGGCTTCATTCCTGCCTCAGTTTACACCAGGACCTTCTGCCATTTATGTTTCCGTATAATTGCAAAATGAATTTAAAGCAAATCCTTGAAAAGTCACAAAAATTAAAACCAAAAATAAAGAAAACCAAACTAGTTCTGAATAGTTTTGTCAGAAGGTGGCGCTACAGGCTAGGTGACACATGGATGTCATCACCAGTAACCGGTTGTTTCTCAACTGCTAAAAAAAAAAAAAAAAAAAAACTTTGTCCATCTACGGGAGAAAAACAAACCTGTTTTTCTCAGAAATACGGGTTTAACATCAGGAAAACTTTCATNCAGTAAATAAATTAAGGGTGGATGTAAGTAGAATCAGATGGGATTAGAAAGGTCAATGCTGATTTTTTAAAGTTATTTTACGTGTCTGGTTTCCTATTTAATCTGTAGGTTTTTTGGTTTTTTTTAGCATTTTTTTTTGTTTGTTTTTCTAAAATTATTATTCAGTTGATTTACATTTCTTTGATCTTTTACTTTTCTGTAGTTTTTTTTAAGCATCTTTTGGTTGATTTTTACTTCTTTTTTTTTTTTACTTGCATTTGTTTAGTTTTACAGAAACATCAAAGTGAACTCAGTCTACTCGTCTTTGACTTGTTTTGTGTCTCTGGTTTACAGAAACTACCAAAACTTGGTCCATTTATTTGTCTTTTAGTCGCTTCTTTGCATCTCTTTAGTCATTGTGCTCCTGTTTGGCCGTTTTATGTCTCCAGTTGTTTTCCTTTTATTTGTAGTTGTTTTACTAAAAAAATGAATTTTTGTCATTTGTTTCATTATTTTGTGTTTTTTTTTAGAATATTTTTTACTAAAAACTTTTTTTTTTTAATGTCTTTCGGTTGATTTATGCTGTTTTTACTTGCTTTTGTCTCTTAAGTTTTGTTTTTCTTTCTTATTTTTACTAAAAACAGCAAAAATTGCACCAATCAAATATATCTCTTTGAGTTTTTTATGTATTTGGTTGCGAGAGCTACGAAACTTTAGTCAAGTTACGCATCGTTTATTTGCCTCTTTGTCATTTTATGTCTGTTTAATTATGAATGCATTGTATAATTTACATTTCTGGTCATTTTATGTTTTTTTTATACTGAAGTCTTATCACTTAATGTGTGTTCTAGTTGTTTTGCATCTTTGTTTTATAAAAAAAACTCTACAATGTGGTCACCGTACGCATCTCTTAGCCTCCTCTTTGCATCTCTTCAGTCATTTTAAATGTTAGTTGAAGTCACTGTAGTGGTTTTACGTTTTATTTCGTCACTCTAGTCGTCTCCACAGTTGTTTTACTGTCCACTAATATAAATAAGATTGAAGTTGCAGAGACATAGACATACAGTAAAACAATCCAAACTAGAACAAACAGATTAAAAAGACCAAACACTGAAACAAAATAAACACGAGGCCACCGTCCTGCGGTTGCTGCAGTTTGGAAGCGGAGTTGGCGTAATCACCCTTTAATTAAACTCCATTAAATCCGGTTTAATTCGTCGTCAGCGCAGCAGGAAGCGGCTCAGACACTCTGCTGATGTTCTCATTAAGCCCAAATGTTTCCCCCTTCACGCTTCACTCTGTTTATATTTTTATTTAATATGTGCTGGAAGGAAATTGCTGATTTTATTTTTCTCCGTGTGATGCTTTTATTACCAGCTGCTGCTGCTGCTGCTGCTGCGTTTTCCCACATGAGGATTTAAGGCTTTAACTCTTTCGCAGTTTAATTAGGATTTAGGAGTGAATCAGAAAATGAGATGGAGGTTTATTTAAATGTAGCTGCAGGTTTCCTCCGTCAAACATTATTAATATTAACGATGATAAAACTCTGTCACTCAGTTTCTCTGGGAGGCAGCAGGTCAAACACACAGCAGGAGAGTTTTCATTTATTTAGTGAGTCGGTGAAGCTGTTGGAGTTTGTTTTAGTGGAAAGACGCTCAGACCTGCTGAGGAAGAAGACGGGTCGAGTCTTAATGGTGGATAAAGTGAAACGCTTCAAGTCAGAGAGACAAGTGTTCATCCGGACCTGTTCGTCAACTTAAGGAGCAAAATGTTGTGAATAAAAACCAGTTTCTTTGTTTAATNTCGTCACTTTGTGGTTGTTTTCTGTCTTATTCTAGTCATTGTGTATCTTTTGTGGTTTTATGATTTGATGTTTGATTTGATGTTTTCTGAACATTAACAAAACAGGAAATCTGTTCTAGAACAGCTGAAAAAATCATTTACTATTCCCTAAATGTATTAAACATGAAACTAACGCATATGCAACGTTAAACTTAGTTACAGTTTTGGTCTGATTTGATTTTATTTATTTTTACAGTAAACATGTCATTTAGACTCTTTTTTTTTTTTTACTAGTAATTATCTATAATTTAAAGTAATCGTAAATTATTCATTTTTTACAGCGTAGTTTTGATTAAATTCTGCTGAAGTTACGCCGATAAAATCCACATTTTATGATGTGAAACGTTCCAAGTGTAACATGAGGCCGCTGATTTATTGATGGCGGCTTGGTCTTGATCGTCAGAGGATCACAGGAGGACTTCTTCTCTTTAACAGACTCTGTTTCATCACTGAGGCCTCATTTATTGATGAGGCGGCTGATCAATACGTCGTGTAGCTACAAATGATGGAGGTGTTCGCCGATACATAATAAATGTGCTCTGCTGCCTCCCGCTGCTGCTTATTCATTGATCAAATGTGTCTGATTAATGGACTCGGCTCCCTCAGGTGGAGGAAAAAGACCAACGTTCAGGTTCCACAAGGTTCATGATGGACTTCATCCACACGACGAACTAGTCCAACGTTAAAAACTCACATCGGTTTGTAATCAGGGATCAATGAGCTGCAGAGTGAAACTACAGAAACATCATCATCAGCATTAAACAGCAGAGACACTAAAACCTGATGAGTTAAACTGGATCCATGTTTCTACAGTTCTGGGATCTGATCAGCTGCTTCTCCTGCTTCTTAGTCTTTTCAAAAGCAAAGCAAATCAACTAAAAGCAGACGTATGTTTAGTTTTACGTCTTTCTGTAGTTTACATCTTTGTAATTTTACTGGAAAACACCAGTCACCAAGTCGTTTTACCCCAAAAATGAACTAAAGCGTTGTCAGTTCACACATCTTCTAGTTGA